GAAGAACAAAATGACAGCAACTTGTCTGTTTCCCTTCCCCCAATTCCCCAGCACTGTTCCCATCCCCCCAATTCCCCAATAAAAATCTTAAAAAAAAAGACATGCTGTAAAATTAAAGTGAGACACTTCTTGAAAGCGCCCCTGTGTCTCCACGCGTCTTTCTTCTTTTTCCTCGCCGATGCCATCTCCACCTGAGGGAACCCCTGGACCTGCGGGAGCTGGTCTCCCACAGGTATGAAATCAATCAGTCAATGTTTGAATTGAAAGAAAATGGATGAGGAAGTAATAAGAGGGAGAAAATTATGTGCTATCTCAGGGAAAAATGAAAATGAAAAAGATTAATAATGAGGGGCAGAATAGATGCAAAAAGGAGCAGGTAATGACTACTAGAGTAGAGTGGAAGTAAAAACCACCAAATTGTGTTCAGGAGAACTATGTTCAAGTAATAATAAGAGCAATGGCTACTATAAAACAAAGTTGCTATTATGTAACAGTGTTAGCCAAGTTACATCCATCATCTTCATTAAGCATCATAACAATTCAGAGTGATAGGTAATATTATCCTCAATTTAAAGATGAAATAACTGAGGCTCCACAATTATATAAATCACAGAGATAGTTAGGAGAGCTAAGACTTGTGGTATCTATGCTAACAAGTTCCATCCATCTCTGGAACCTTCAGAGAGGTCCTAGCATCAGCTTTACAAAGCCATATCCAAGAATCAAAGGGCTTTGAGAAGCAGCTGAAGAAGTAAATCACTTGAGTATACTCTAGTCCTATAACTCATCATGTAAGCTACAGAAATTTCAGCAACCACAAGAAGATAGTGCCTATTTATCTGAAGAACATGGCAAAGAATATGTATAATGCATCCTTGCAGTGGTTCACATAAGCTGATCACAACTAAGTATCTGGTCTTAGCAATATTTTTCTGGATATGTCTCCACAGGCAAGGGTAACAAAACCAAACAAAAAAAATCAAACTAAAAATATTTTGCACAGTGAAGGAAACAATCAACAAAATAAAAAGACAACCTACTAAATGGGATATTTGCAAATGATATATCCAAATAGGGGTTAATATCCAAAATATATAAACAACTCATAAAACTCATCATCAAAAAATAAAAATAAAAAAAACACAATCCAATAAAAAAATGAGGAGGGGGCCTGAACAGACATTTCTCCAAAGACATACAGATGGCCAACAGATATATGGAAAGATCCTTAACATTACTAATTATTAGAAAAATGCAAATCATAATCACAATGAGATAGCATGTCACACTTGTCAAAACAGCCATTATCAAAATGACAACAAATAACAAGTGCTGGCGAGATTGTAGAGAAAAGGGAACTCTCATGCACTGTTAGTGGTATTGTAACTTGGTGCAGCTGCCATGGAAAACAGTACGGAGGTTCCTCAAACAATTAAAAATAGAACTACCATATGGCACAGCAATTCTACTTCTGGATATATTTATCTGAAGAGAACCAGAACATTAATTCAAAAAGATATGTGCACCCTTATGTTTATTGCAGCACTACTTACAATTGCTAAGATATGGAATCAACCTAGGTGTCCATCAATAGATGAATGGATAAACTATATATACAATGGAATATTACTCAGTTATAAAAAAGGAATGAAATCTTTCCATTTGTGACAACATGGGTGGACTTGGAGGGTATTGTGCAAAGTGAAATAAGTCACACAGAGAAAGACAAATACCATATGATTTCACTTAATCTAAGAAAACTAAACAAGTGAACAAGTAAAACAGAATGGAAACAGACTCATAGATACAGAGAATATACTGAAGATTGCCAGAAGGAAAGAGGATGGGGGATACATAAAAAAGTTGAAGGGAAATAAGAGGCACAAACCTCCATTTATACATATAAAAAAAGTCACAGGGATGTAATGTACAGCATAGGGAAAATACTCAATATTATAATAATTTTGCATCATGACAGGCGCTACTGGGTTTATTGTGATTACATCATAAGAAATATAAATGTTGAATCACTATGTATTTTTACCTGAAACTAATATTTTATGTCAACTATAATTTAATTTAAAAAATCACAGAAGCACTTACTTTAGTCTAAAGTGATCTTTCTGTTCCTGCAGCCCAATATCTAATAGCCAAAAGCAAAACAAAGAAACACT